GGTGGCACGGGGGGAGATGAGCCGGCAGAAGGTCCTGGACCTGTCCTGTCTTCACCCTGCTGCAGGGTTGGGAAATGTGCAAAGACAATAACCCGAGTGGAAATTTTGGACGTTTCCAAGGATGGTGCTCTGAGCTTAACTTCCGGGACTCTCCCCATGTTTTCTTTTTCTCCGGAGGATGATGGGACAGCTTCACTTACCTTCATGCAGGGTCTGCTGGGTATGACGCACCCCTGGAAATTCAGCCTCTTACTACCAGTTTCTCAAAGGAGCTTATTGCCCCAGCTGAGGAGGAAACCATGTCTCAGAAAAATATTGGAGATTTCAAAAAGCTTAATTGTTCCCAGCTGGAATGGGATATAAAGTCAACATTTCTGACAAGCTGGGAGTAGGGAAAATTCAGTTTGGGTTCGTTGATTTGAACTCATACATGTGTGTGTTTTGTTTTGTTTTTTTTGTTTTTTGTTTTTTTTCAAAAGCGTACTGTAACTACATCAGTGTTTTTAAATAAAATGATGTTTCAATGTGGGAGGTTAAGGAGGAAGGGAGAGTTTCTTTTGTGTTGACAATTTCAAACTTTAAATTCATGTTGAGAAAATTTAATCTGAAACAATCCATTCGCATGGAAAAAAATCAATATTTTTTCCCAGTGGAAAGAGAGAGTTCACTCAAAGAAAGATGGGGAATGGGAAATCTCAGTCATCTGTATATTTAGCATGGTACTGGTCCCTCTGTATATGCCTTAACAAGGGTTGAGCTCTTTTTTTTTTTTAAAAGTCTTGCTTCTAATTGTGAGTTTGAAACATTTTGGCATCTGGCTACTAACTGCAGTGAAGTTTACTTTTTCTCCGCTTCTTCCCTATTATTTTTATTTAAGAATGGTCTTTCTCAAACTGTTAATGATTAAAGAAAAAATGGCTTCCTTTTCTCTCAGTATTGAGTTGCTCAGTTTTGTGCACAGAATCATAGGTTCATAGACTGTAAGGGGTTGGAAGGGACCTTGCAAGATCATCGGGTCCAGCCCCCTGCACTAGCCACGCACACTTATTTGCAAACGCTACCAAAATTGTACATAAGCACCCCTCCCCGTTTGTCAGAGTAGGATTATAACAAGGATGCTTTTATTTCAATGTAGCTAAATGTGTACTACACTACTCTCAGATCTTTGAGGTGAAAAAACTGTGTATATAAATGGGGTTTAAATTGTGAAATGTACTCTAAATTATCCTCAGTTTTGAAAGCATAGATTCTAATCTTTACAAAATCTCCAATTACTGGATGTTAATTGTGTGTTTTTCCTGTCTTAATTCCTTCTGCTTTCTGTTAGAAAACCGCAGGGGAGGGAGGAGGAGGGGGAGAGGAATTACTAGAAATATAAGTTTGTGACTCTCTCATTTTCACTATGTTGGATTTTGCTGGCGATAACTCTTTAGAAATGGCAAATGTCAAAGAAATGTTAGAGAATATGTGTGGAGAAGTGAATTTTGTGCATGAAAAAGGTACACAGTGGAAATCTGATTCCTAATTACTCGTCCATTAGGGACCAGAAACATCACCATGTGACCTTGTGTCCACTTAAAAACTAAGCAAGCAGTCCACATTTCAAATGCTCCTGAAACAGTGTTCAGTATATAGTTACAAATAGTAACAAATAATTATGAGGAAAGTGGAAACTAAGTGTTAAACAAATATTAAATAAAGTATTAAAAAGTAAAGAGGAGTGCAGACGTCTTGTAAACGAGTCTCCAGTGGTATGTTTCGGTCCAGTGTTGAGCAAGTATAATTAAAACTAGTCTAAAAAGCACTGGTCACAGGATGTCTTGCAATGGGTTAGGGTTCTCGAGGGGAGGGTGGAAACATTATCCACTTATGAACCACATTTATTATTGTAACTATTTTTCTAGTGGCAACATTCGTGATTGGGCACCTCATTGTCCCAAGATTTGTACACCCAGAAATAGTCCCTGAATTGCAACAGCCATCTAGATCAGTGCCCTCGGGCAGGGTGGAAGTCAGCTGCTGATGGGCAGCCAAGTTTCCACTGGCTGCGTACCATCTAGCAGCCCCTACGCTCACTCCAGCTCTAGCAGAAACCGCATGGACCAGGCTCCCAAGGCATGCTGAGAATGCACAACCTCTTTACTGTGAGAACTCTTATCTTTCCAGTCTCCTCTATGCCAGAGCCAGGCCCCAAATAGGTTTGGGACAGCATAGGTGTGGCTCAGCTTTCAAAACAAAATCCATTTGGAGTGATATCGCTCTACTTCCATCTACGACATGCTGTATTGCCACAGTTGTGATCTCAACCAGGATGGAGATTCAGTTGTCGTAGGCATCGGATAGATGTGACGTAATGGTATTCTAAGTGAAATAACACCTCTTTCCTTCCCTGCACTCCCTCTTCCTGAAAAGAGGATTACAACTGAGACTGTCCTCAGAAGAATTCCTGAACAAAAGCACGGGTATTAAAAACAACCTGGTATCCTGCACAACCTAGTATCCTGAGACCCCAGATGAGTGGCGAAAAAATGGGCCCGATTCTCTTTTCCCTTGCACCAGTTTTACTTAAGTAAAAGGACTATGATGTCGGAAGTGAAATCCAGATTGGGTCCGGAGGGCAGAGTTCTCCCACGTGTAAGGGAATGCAGCAAGAGAGAAATGTCTCGCCCAAACTACAGGGGTTGGATCAGGGGGTATGGGTGTCTTCCACGGCGTATGGCATGTCTATCGGTAAAGCAGAGTGAAAGGTATATCACACACCTGCTTTTCAAGCACTGTGTTGTGCCCTAGGCTCTGTCAGGCCACAACATGCACCATTTCATTTTGAACCTCTCAGTGACAGCAACTATGCTTTGCCAGAGGGTCTGGCAGAAGAGTGGCATGGTTTCAGTTGACACATATTGTGATTTTTATTTTTGGTAATTACCCTTGCTACCCAGATAGTTATCTACACCTATGCCTTTAATATTTCTGTAATATTGCGGATAAGCCTCGTGCAATAATATTATCACTTAGGAGAATGGTGTTCAACAAGAAGCACTTTCCAGATAAGAAGACGAAGTCTCTGGCTTCCAAATGCACGTTTTGGAAACGAGACTTCGGCCTCCCTGAACAGCGCTGAATGGAAGCTGTGGGCTAGAACTAGCAGAAGCGGGACGCGGCCCTGCGCGTACTGACTGCGCAGTGTAGCGTCTGGACACCCGTCTTGAATCACTGGGACCCGCGCGGTTGTTTTAATGGCAGCTCTATGTGGATTCAGATGGGGCCCAAGGTGCTTATGTTAGGAACAGGAATTTGTAAAACAGTGCTCACCGTGATGTTGTGCAGAACTCTGGGGAAAAAAAATTCGAACTATTAAGACTTTTTTTTTTTTTATGCGGGGTCAGGAAAGTCCCTGCCGACAGCTGTTCCCTTCTCAGAATTAATTTTCCACTTCTAGCCACTCTGACATAGAGAACAGTTTACACAGTTCTTCATTGTTTGTTTGTTTTAATAATGCATTCAAATAAAACCACATCCTTGGGTATGGGAAGGGTAATTTAAAAACACGTCCATGATAGCAATCACTGTAACTATCCATAACAGATCTCGTGTCCCTGAAAACTGACACTTTACAATCATCACCACTATGCTGGTATGTTTTTAGCCTTGTTCCTCAGCCTGAGTGTTCCCTTCTCCCTGATTTTAAGTTCTTCATACCTGTAAAACAGTTCACATATGTTGGACCAGATCCTCGGTCAATGTAAAATGACGTGGCAGCAATAGAAATCAGTGTAGTTTGGCTGACTTTTGCCAGCTAAGGATATGACCCGATAATCCATAACTAACCAACCCTCCTGACTTCTCTGTGAAGCAGCTGGTATGTACAGTAGCCATGTTGCATGTAGGGGAAAGGAAGCAGAAAAGTAAAAGGCTGCTCCTGGATTAGAAATAGGAGTTGATGTCGGAGATTAGTATTCCACAGTTAGTCTTCCATTCCTGTGCTCAGACCCCTTTTTGTCCTCTTGATAACTGAAATTTATTTCCACGTAAATCCTATTTTATGCTAATTTTGAGCTAGGAAGGATGAGCGGGAAAAGTTAGAAAAAGCAATTGCAGAAGTTGTTGAAAATTACATACTGTTATCAACTTATTTAATTGAAAAATTACACAAAGCAAAAATGTGCGCTGGGGGAAAAAAAAAAATCAAGTATTATATACCAGAACTATATTCCAGAGGATGAGAAGGGAGCTCTAAGTCTTAAATAAACCATTCATATGAAAGTAAATGTACAGATGCATGCATGGTCTCTGCTTTCAAATCACTTTTGGGAAGGCACCAGCTTATTGGGATGTCCTTGTAGCCTGGAGAAGCAAATGCTTTTTGGGGTGGGATGGAGAGAGGGATGTAGCTGAAAATTCCTGTGTTAAATAAATAATCAGTAGTTCACTTTTCAGTTGTCGCAGCTTGGTAGCTTCAAGGGCCCCTTCTAACCCCGTGTCCTTTAAGCAGCAGCTTCAGTGAGGAGCTGCAGCAGATTGCTTGTGTAGCAGACTGGGATTGTGCAGGAAATGTCCAGATACACAGAGCAGGAGACGCCCTTCAGGTTTCTGAGCCTCTCCGGCTTCAGTCTGTGTCCTGGATGGTTCCAGTGGCGGTACTGCTCAGGGCACACATCTTCCAGGTAGTCCTAACGTCCCACTTACCATGCCCTGATCCCTGCTTGCAGTGTGGCTTGCAAGTGGCCAGGCTGGTTCTGAGCAGCGTTAGACATACTAAAGCTCATATTCATGATGTGCCCGGCTGGTGTAGCACTAGTTGGCACAGAGGGCACCCCAGCATAACTGCAGTTGTAGTTAGCACTGTACGGGCTGTTGCTGTAGCCACTGTAGTAGGTATTATAGGAGTAAGGGCTGATAGCAACATTATAAGGGGAAGTGTAAGCCTGGGAGCCCCCAAGGCATGGTTTGCCATCTCTGACCAGTACAGGTACAGCAACTCTCCTCGGAGGGAGCGGGTGGGCAGAGAGCTCCAGGGATTTATCTTGCCTTTGTCTTTTGCACTTATATCTCCTGTTTTGGAACCAGATCTTTACTTGAGTGGAGGTGAGCTTCAGCATGCTAGCTAGGTGCTCCCTTTCCGGTGCCGAGAGGTACTTCTGCTGCTTAAATCGCCTTTCCAGTTCGAATACTTGAGCTTGGGAAAACAACACCCGGGGTTTTCTCCTCTGCCTTTGCTTGGGGCGCTCGCAGGGGTCCTCCTCTTTCTTCTCCATCTCGAAAGACTCAGCGATCAAACACTTCCCTGAAAAACAGGCCAAGCACAAAGCTAAGTGAGACCTCTTCCGGTCCGTGCCCATAAGGGTTAAACACACTTGAGCTGCATTTTTCACACTTGGGCTGTGTACAGTGATGGGCTTTTTGTGGGGTGGGGGTTGTGACCACTAATTGTGGACTACAGATGATCAAGCTAAATTCAGCAACTACTTTAACCCCCTTTTTTTTGGGGGGGGGGGGTGCTTATTTTTTGCCATATAATAACATGTAGGAAATGTCTATTAGTGCAACTAATTGAGCCACCCCTACCACAAACGTTTATAGTAAAAGCTGGTTAAACCGGAGCAGCCTTTCCATTAACTCAACAAAGGGACTTTCTCAAGCTTAGCTTACTGAAACTAGTTACATTATGAAAAGAAAGGGTGTTTTCCTGATGTCTTCTGTTGGATCAACTCTTTGGATGTAGGACGAGCTTTCTGGCACAGTGTGAAAGGCACTTTGTGCTGGAAAGCTTGTCCAACATCTCCCCCAACGATACACTCGGTTTAATAAAAGATACCACAAGAAAAACCCCTGCCTTCCCTACATTTTCTGGTGCACCAGCAAAAGGACGCTGCGACCCTTGTTACCAGTAGGAGACCATTATTTCAAATGGTATATTCAAACAAAACTTCCTTCCCTTACGCAGCCCTGCCTGCTTCACTGGGGTTGATGAGCAAGATTTGCTCCTCGGAGAGTACAGAAAGGAGGGATCCGTGGCAAATGTAAGAGCCTCGTGCATGCACAGGCGGCCGGGTTTGCCATTGAAGCCCGCGTCTTCCTGCGGTGCCGGCAAGGGGGATGAGCCCAGGACTTTTTAGAGTCGAGACAAGGAAAACGAGGGCTGCAAAGCCTCGCGTCTCCCCTGGCCCGTCTCCTCGCACTGGCGGCAGCTGTTCCGACTTGAGGTTTCTCCTCTCAAAAGCCGGCTCGGGAACAAGGCCCGGCCCTCTTCCCGTGCCACAAGCCGGCTGCGCTGTTTCCTGCCCCGGCTACGGTAGATGCCCCCCGCACCAACGGGACGCGTTTCCGGGGCGATTGTTTGCAGTGTCGGGCTTGGTTTAAATCACGGCGGGGCATCGAGGCGGGCGCGAGCACCCGTGTCCGCGCAGGCGATGCCCGCCCTGCGGATCTGCGCGGCTTCCCGCGGGGCGCGGAGGTCTCCGTCGCGGGGAAGCCTGCGCGGCCGTCTGCTCCCATCTCGCGCGCGCCGGAGCCCGCGGTGTGGCAGGGGGCGGCGCTGGCACCGGCACACACCGGCCCCGCGCTCTTGTATCGGAGCGGCTCTGGCATGTATTCGGGTTGCTCCGGGATTTACCCGAGGAGCCACGCAAGGCTGGCATTGGCGCACAATACAGCGAAAACTAAGAGGAGGAGACTGGAAAGCAAAGGAATAAAATGACCATCCATTATATGTCTTTAAGGAGCAGTTTTAGCAATAGGAGTTTCACTGTTGTTTGTCTCTCTCCCGTTTGCGCGCCTGGATTGCGTCGCTCCGCCGCGCGCTGCGCAGCGGCAGTAATTGCGCGGACTTGTTACTCTGCGAGTGATTTCTTCTCGTTTTTGAATGAAGCAGAAGTCAGCAAACACAAGGCCACGCTGTGAAAATCACATTAAGGGGGCAGTGAAAGGCAGGGTTTGGTGATGTATCCATTGTTCAGTTCCCCGCTTTAAAGACGTAAGCTCTTAAACACCAGCCTCGCTGCCGGCGGCACCTGCATGCAGTGCGGAAAGCCGCTGCGCCCCGGGCCCTGACTTCTTGTCTTGTGCGTGTTCAGCCCTCCCCTTGTTTGCAGACCCCGTGCCTAGCATTAGACTACTCCCCCGGCACGTACCCCGTTGCCCCGGCGCTGCCCTCTGCAAGGGCGGCCGTGCCCGAGAGAAGGCGGGTAGGCGACAGACAGGGGTGTCTGGAGCCGGCCGCAAGGGTCTGTCTCGCAAGCACCACGGGGCAGCGTGAGTCTGCGGGAGCCCCGCGCGGGGGAGGCCGCAGCCGGCAAGCGCTTTAGCCCGCCCGGGCTGAGCACGGCCCTGCACCCGGCCCACCCCAGCTTGTTGTTGTTGTTTCGCCGAATCGTTTCTAAAGCCGGTTTCTGGCAAGGGTCTCCCGCCTCCCAAGCGCAGGTCGGAGCAGCCCCGGGGGAGCGGAGGGGCCGTCAAGCTGACAGCGGGGCTCTGCCAGTCCAGCCCACGGCTCCGGCACTTACCGAGGTCCACCTCCTCCTCCCCGCAGGAGCTCCGCAGGAGGTCGTACTCCTCCTCGGCCTTGACGGGGCCGTGCTCGGCGCTGTAAGCGGCTCCTAGCTGCCTGCGCGCGCAGGCGGGCGGCTCGGGCAGGAGGGCGGCGGGGTGCTCCAGCTTGAGGATGTCTTTGACCGAGAAGGGGGTGGAAGTGACCGGGCTGGGCAGCATCCTCAGGGCCGGGGGAGGAGAGGAAGAGACGGCGCGCTGCCTCCACGCCGGCCCCCGCCGGGCACGTCGGAGCTGGAGCCGCTGCCGCGGCCGCCGACTGCG